CAAACAACCCCATCAAAAAGTAGATATGAACAGACAAAGGATATGAACAGACCCTTCTCAAAAGAAGACATTTATGCAACCAACAGACATATGAAAAAATGGTCATCATCACTAGTCATCAGAGAAATGCAAATCAAAACCACAATGAGATACCATCTCACGCAAGTTAGAATGGCAATCATTGAACAGTCAGGAAACAACAGATGCTGGAGAGGATGTGGAGAAATAGGAACACTTTTACGCTGTTGGTGGGAGTGTAAACTAGTTCAACCATTGTGGAAGACAGTGTGGTGATTCCTCAAGGATCTAGAACTAGAAATACCATTTGACCCCAGCGATCCAATTACTGGGTATGTACCCAAAGGATTATAAATCATGCTACTATGAAGACACAAGCACACGTATGTTTATTGTGGCACCATTCACAATAGCAAAGACTTGGAACCAACCCAAATGTCCATCAATGATAGACTGGATTAAGAAAATGTGGCACGTATGCCCCATGGAATACTATGCAGCCATTAAAAAGTATGAGTTCATCTCCTTTGCAGGGACTTGGATGAAGCTGGAAACCATCATTCTGAGCAAACTATCTCAAGGACAGAAAACCAAACACTGCATATTCTCACTCATAGATGGGAATTGAACAATGAGATCAGCTGGACACAGGGTGGGAAACATCATGCACCAGGGCCTGTCCTGAGGTGAGGGTCAAGGGGAGGGATAGCATTAGGAGAAATACCTAATGTAAATGATGAGTTAATAGGTGCAGCAAACCAACATGGCACACGTATACCTATGTAACAAACCTGCACGTTGTGTACATGTACCCTAGAACAAGTATAATTTAAAAAAAAAAAAAGATTCAGAAAAAAAAATATTTAGCTGAGTGCCTCCTGCCTGTAGTCCCAGCTACTTGGGAGGCTGTGGCAGGAGGATCACTTGAGCCCAGGAGTTTGAGGGTGCAGGGAGCTATGATCGTACCACTGCACTCCAGCCTGGGTGACAGAGCAAGACGTCTCAAAAAAAAAAAAAAATTGTTAAGTCAACAACAAAATGATAAAGAGCAGAAGTCAATAAAAGAGAAAACAAGAATATATCTTTCTTAGTGTATCTTCGTTTTATATTTCATTAACTTCTGCTCTAGACCTAAATGATCTTAGAACTGAGTTCTACCATTCAGGGAACTAATAATTCAAATATATTAAAAAAATATTCTACAAATATAATTTTTAGATACCCCCAAATCACAATAGGGTAATGTAACGCTTGTAGCAAAACCAGACAAGGACAAAATACGAAAGAAAATCATACACTTAGCTCATGTAGAAATGCGGATGTTAATACAGTCATGCATTGCTTGACAACGAGGATACGTTCTGGGAAATGTGTTATTAGGCGATTTCATCATTGTGTGAACATCATAGAGTGTACTTAGGCAAACCTAGATGGTATTTTATTTATGTATATTTTTTCATGTGGAAAACCAAATGCCCCAGCATCATTACTAAATTTCAGCCATTTTCCCTATTGATCTGCAATGCAAATATCAAGTGTCACATAGCAGATTTCTCTACATGTTCCATTATAATCCTGTGGATCCACAGTGGCATATGCAATCCATTGTTGACCAGAACATCGTTATATAGTGTATGACTGCATTAGCAACCTGAATAAAATATGGCAACATTTAGTAAAATTAAAAACATGTAAATTCATGACCCAACAAATCCATTCCTGGCTATATGTTATAAACAAACTCTCACATGTCTAGGAGAAATATGCAAGAATATTTATTGCAATATTATAACAGTGAAATACCAAACTCAATCTTACTGTCCATCAACAAAATAAGTTGTGTATTTACCTATAATGGAATACCATTTAACAGTTAAAATGAATAAATCCTCAACTTAATAAACATCAACATTATATTGGGAGGAAAGCAGATCACAGATTAACATATCTCACTTACATATAATGTTAAGGCATACACACAATATCATACATTGTTCTCATGCTACATATATATGTAGCAATCATGCATGGAAAGGATAATGTCAAACTTAGGATAGGAATTACCTTGGTGGAGGGAAAGCAAATGGAATCAGGAAGTAATAAAAAGGGAGTTTTTGTTTATAATATCTCAATTTTTTTAAAGCTTTCATAAATATGGCAAGATGTATTGGTGGGCTCATAGGTGCAATAGACTTCTCTTTATTTTTTCTATTTGCTTAAAATATGTCATAGTTTTTCAAAAGGAAGTTAGCAGTTTATTTTAAATATAAAGTTATGGAGGTCATCTGCACTGGAGAGGATAGAATAAGATGCAAGCATTGTCATGCAGGTCTCTAGACCAGTTGGCCATGTAAGTACTAACATCCATGCTTGGAAAAGATGAGACTTCCTCAATTTGGACTGAGACAAAAGAGCTGTGGTCCCCAATGGTAGAAGAGGAGGGAGAGAAATTACCATAGCTTTTTTCTACCCCTTCTTTCGTGGCTTGTTGCCCCAGCTCCTTTCTTCCGCCATCTCTTTTCTCTTCCTCTCTAGAGTGACATGGAAAGCCACAGCTAAGGAAGAATGTAGCCAATCACGTACCTCTGTCCCTGCCATCCCAGCAGGAGACTTCATCCAAGCATTGAGGAATCTCCATTTATCTGGGGGAAAAAGTTCTACCATTTTACAGCTGATTGCATACTAGGGATTTCTCCCTAGTTTGAGGCTTCAGATAATAGAAATTCAAGCATATAGGAAAGTCCCATTGAAGTTAGTTGCCCAACAAATTATTATTGAGTCTTAAACAAAAGGACAAGAGAGAAAGGGTATTAATGTTTATAAACTTGTGTTACCCTCATAGATATTTAGATTATATATAAGATTATATTTAACTCATGTTCTTGAGTGTATCCCTATATTTTCAATATTATTTCTAATATAGTGATAGTTTCTAACAAATTGTATTATTAGATTTCCTCTCGATGAATAGAATTCTTATGTAAATACAGAATGCTGCTTATGTGGGTTGAGAAATCCTACTTAACTAGATGTTAAAGAAGATTGAAATTTCAAGGATTTAATTTTGCAAGGCAGTTTATACATAATTTTAGAATTCTTTTATTTGGGGAGGGGGAAACAGGGTTTTTGTTATGTGAGTTGAATAAGTCCTGGAGATCGACTGTACAGCATAGTGCCTACAGTTAACAATACTGTACTATATACTTAAAAACTTTCTAAGAGGGTAGAGCTTATGTTAAGTGTTCTTATCACAAAAAATAATAATGATAATCTATAAAAAGAGCAGGAGGAAACTATTAAAGTGATGGATATGTTTATGGCATAAATTATGGTGATGGTTTATGGGTATATACTTACCTCAAGATGCATCAAGTTATATACATTAATTACATATGTACAACTCTTTGTATGTCAGCAATACCCCAATAAAGTGGGGGTTGTTGTTGTTGTTGTTGTTGTTTTGAGACGGAGTCTCACAATGCCGCCCAGGCTGGAGTGCGATGGCAAGATCTCAGCTCACTGCAAGCTCCGCCCCCCGGGTTCACGCCATTCTCCTGTCTCAGCCTCCCGAGTAGCTGGGACTACAGGCGCCCGCCACCACGCCGGGCTAGTTTTTCGTATTTTTAGTAGAGACGGGGTTTCACCTTGTTAGCCAGGACGGTCTCGATCTCCTAACCTCGTGATCCGCCCACATCGACCGTCCCAAGTATTGGGATTACAGGCGTGAGCCACCGCGCCCAGCCACGTGGGGTTTTTTTAAACAAATTCATTTATCTGAATTGTGTTTTTAATATGGTAAAAATGCAAACAATCCAAATAAGTGTAAAATGAGAGATAGGCCGGGCGTGGTGTCTCATGCCTGCAATCCCAGCACTTTGGGAGGCCAAGGCGGGTGGATCACGCACGAGGTGAGAAATTTGGGACCAGTCTGGCCAACATAGTGAAACCCTGTCTCTACTAAAAATACAAAAAATTAGCCCGGTGTGGTGGTGTGCCTGCTTGTAATCCCAGCTTCTCCGGAGGCTGAGGCAAGAGAATTGCGTGAACCTGGGAGGCTGAGGTTGCAGTGAGCCAAGATTGCTCCATTGTACTCCAGCCCAGGCAACAGTGCAAGACTCCATCTCAAAAAAAAAAAGAGAGAGAGAGAAAGATAATTCTCCTTCCCACACATTGTCCCCTAGTCCCCCTCCACAAAGACAACCACTGTTATAAATGGCCTGTGTGCTCCTCCAAGATGTTCTATACATAGACAAACATGCATCATAAAGAACTTTTTAAAAGGTTCATTCCATAAGAATGGTATTTCAAAATGTCTATCTTCTTGAAAGCACATACAATATTTTTCTATTTGAGGCCAATCTGTAGTGCAGAATCTTCAGACTTGGGGCCAGGCACCATATAAGTAAAACCCAATCACAAGAGCAAGACTTCAAAGGAGCCACAATAAAGATGGCAAAGATGTTGTATTGTTCATTAAATTCTTTATAGAAAAGTAAGGAGAAAAGAATAGAGTCTCAATGCAGTAGGTTCCAAGGTTTGAGGCTGCTACTAATTAGACAATTAAATGACATGCAGCTGGTCTGTGTTATGATCTATCGGGTAAAGCTATCAAATAGATTTAGGTAATGATTTTGTCCACAATTGAATGGAATCTAAAAACAGATGGTTATACAAAAGCCTATCTATGTTGTTGCTTTCTTAATCAGCCTAAAACTTTAACCAGATCTGAAATACAATCAAGAGGCTGCCCAATTGATCTTTTTTAACAGCTCTGCTAAAAGATTATTGGTAATAAAGAGTTTAATTCAGACAGAAGTCTTAACAGAGAATTTATGATGTCGAAGAGTAAAGTTCATGTTAGTTTATTACTTTTTAAACCACAGTATTTGGTATTTCTCATGGGTACAAAGGATATCTCACACTCTTTTTTCCTCCTTTTTTGGGAACCAATTTAAAAGAAAAATCTCACCTTTGTCTTTTAGGCTCTTCTAACACATAAGAGTGACCCAGCCATGAGAAAAATGTTGAATCATCTATATTTCTATATCATGCCTGTGTTTAACGTCGATGGATACCATTTTAGTTGGACCAATGTAAGTCACTTTGCCTATCCAATTGAAAAGATGACTAAATAAATCTTAGAAAAGAGAGTCACAAACTTCCAGGACAGGAAGGAAGCTGGAGAGACAGTCAGCTGAGTGATTCTCGAGATGCAAAAGAGACCTTCACTCTTTCCCCAATCAGAGCACCAACAATTTGATTTCATTTTCACGTCTAGATTTTGTAGAGATTTCACATAAATAAAGATTTCTTCTTCCAAATAAATAGTGAAAAATCACTGGTCTAGTCCAGCCTATTCAATTTTGCCTATAAAGAAATGGGGCCAAGAGAAGGCAAAATACAGAAAGTTTGTAGCAGAAATTGGAGCGTGAACCTGGGTCTCCACTACTAATCCAGTCTTCTTTTTCACTCCCCGGGCTTGTCTATCCACAGGAGAACTCTCTCCTCAGCGGTATGACTCGTTCATTGATTGAGCTATTAAAATGCATGCGAATAACCTTTTGAGTATTTTTCTCTACACCTGTTTTCTTAATTATGTCTAGGATCGATTTTGGAGAAAAACAAGGTCAAGGAACTCAAGGTTTCGCTGCCGTGGAGTGGATGCCAATCGGAACTGGAAAGTGAAGTGGTGTGGTAAGTTTGGGACCAACTGGGATCCAGATCCAAAGTTTTCTGCAGGTTTTACTCTGCAAAATATGAGCCCAGAGGATGCTCATGGGAGACTGATGTTTTTCTCTATGTGAAAACCTGGTAGAGAAAGGTACAGACACATACATGATAGCTATAATTGGCAAAAGAAAATGAAAGAATTCTTTTTTAATATATAAAAATCAAGGATTTTAAATCTGTCAACTCAGTCCTGAAAACTGAAAATTTAAATACATATGTAAAAGCAGAAAACTGAGGAATATTTGTCATTCCCCAAATTAAAACATGAACCGTGGTGTAGTATAATTCTGGTTAAATCTTTTTATCCTTTTCATACAAGCACCACTGATCCTCCCTTCGTCTGTCTGTCGTGGTCAAAGCTGTCACAACCTTGTCTATATCCTACCACTCTGCTGGTCATAAGTGGATTGACCACGCACGTCGGGAATGTATTTCTGCTGCATTCCATGTTTCATTAATAATCACCTTTAAAATAAAAGGAAGATGTCATTTTAAGGAAGGAAATCCTTTTACTGAAGAAAGAAGCAGGCAAGTATCAGGGAGAAATGAGAAAATTAGTCATGGCTAGTTTAGTTGCAGCAAAAAAAGGAGAGGATGGAAAACTATTATCAAAATGCAGTTGTTAGGAGCTGCCTTTTTATTGAGACTTTCTATAGGTCCCTCAAAATATAGACCCTTGTTTAATGGAAATCCTTCCTTTAGACCCTTAGAAATGAGGCCTATTCCACATTCACTCATTCTACAATGAGGGTTAGGTTCTATGTGAGATGCCAATCCTCCCATCCCACTAGCATCAGCTAGAATAACTGGGCGTGGGCTTTGATTCCTTCCACACATCCCTCCAAGCAAGAGGCTTCAGTTGATTAGAATTGGCAAATAAGAACATGACATAGCTAAAAGAATATGGCTCTAAAATAAGACAAATGTAGTCTGATTCTACCATTACTAGCTGAGTGATCTGGGCAATTTTATTTAATCTATGAAATCATAATGCCAACCACCTTGTGGGGTTCTTAGAGGGACTAAAGAAATTTATATATGTGAAATGTCTAATTTAGTTCCTAGCTCCAAACTGGGATCTAAGTATCAGTAACCCATTCCTCGTTCCCTGACCTCCAAAACAGGGTCAGTTCTCTTCTAAGCCTCACATCAATTGGTGAAATAACCTCTTATCTTCATGGGAATGTTGTGATGATGAGCAATAATGTATACTTAAAAGCACTTGCATTTATGAAGGGGGGGAAAAGCATTGTATAAATACTATGATGTGGTGTTATAGATGGCTATTTCTATTTAGAAATTGTTTTCTCCAACCTATACTAAGACAACAAGTATGTTAACTCCTGAAATCCACTAATTTAAAGAAAACTTTTCACTTTCCCTTCTCTCTGATGGGGCCATTTTCCGTACTCATAACCACAGGGATGTTTCGCCTGTAAGCGGAGACTCTCATCCACATATGTGTCATATGCATGCCTACAGGCATCTGCATGAGTGCCCTGGATGGGTAATTGAGCTGAGTAACTCTAGCAGCAGCCAGTTCTGCCTGTGTAAACTTAGACTCCTGTTTATATCAGGTTGCAAGTAAGGTCTTGCTTCCCTTTGTTGTTCTTCCTTTACCCACCTTGCTTCCTTCATACACTTGCCTTCTTTGGTTTTTCAGTTTCAGCTGCAGCCCCAACTAGAATTCCTTTGATTCTTCCCAGTTTTGAATCATTCTGATTTTTGCTGTGAGCCAACACTCAAGATATACAAGGGATTATGTCAAATGCAGTTGCAAAATGATCTTGATAGACTGTTGGGAGTGATAGGGAAGTGCGGGCAGCCTGGCTGGTACTGTGTCAGCTGCAAGGTCTCCAGAGTGGGTTCAGCTGATCCAATAGGCAGGCAGCCAAGTGTGACCTGCCTCCCTCCCAGGGTCAGGTCCATCCCCCTGCAGCTATGTGCTACATGAAGGGGACAGGGAACTACAATGTAGGAATCACTCTGAGGTCAGGGATATTGAGGTAAGTATGAAATTCCCTAAAGTGAACCTCCAAATAAACATCCATAGCATAAATGACATAGAAATGCCCAGACCATTGAAAATACTGTAGGGTCAGCATGGAAGTGACAAAAACAGCTGTTTCTCTCTCTTAAGTCAGTGATTCTTGAAATTAAAGAGCAGAACATGAAACTGCTTTTTACCGTGAAGAATGTGTGGATCCCCATGTGATAGTGGTTATGCTTTAGTGTGTGCATGTGGAATAGTCCAGCATGCACGTAGAGACAGGCATACTTTTTGAATACTTCATAGCTCTCCTGAGGGTGTTTCACCCATAAGATGAATATCACTCTTCTGAAAGTCTCCCAGAGGGACTCGACAAGTCAGAGTAGTGGTAGGAACCAGGAATAAATGCATAAATTTAATTCATTCATTTGCCAAAGTTAATCGAGCACATTCTCTCTGTGAAGCACTGTGCTTTTTCTTTCCTCTGTGCACTCTTTTTAAAATATGCTGTAAGCACTGATTTTCCAAATTGGAACAAATCCAGGAGAAAGGTAAAGGGTTTGAATAATATCCATACTTAATCTTTAACTTCTGAATAATTCAAGTGTTGCCTAAATACAAATTACTATTTAGAAAAGCCTGTGGAACATAAGACAGTTTCACAAATCATGTATCTACTAAGAGACTTGTATTCAAAACATAGAAAGAATTCTCTCAACTCACAATAAAAACACAAGTAACCCAATTTAAAAGTGCATAAATGATTTGAACAGATACTCTCCAAAGAAGATATATAAAAGGGAATAAGCACATGAAAATATGCTCACCATCATTAGCCAACAGAGAAATGTACATCAAAACCACAATAGGATTAGGTGCCACTTCACACCCACTAAGATGGCTGTAATAAAAAGACAATAACGTGTTTGTGAGAGTGTAAAAAAACTGGGACATTCATACTTGCTGGTGAGAATGTAAAATGGTGCAGCCACTTTGGAAAACAGTTTGGCATTTCCCTAAAAAGTTAAACATATGACCCAGCAACTCCACTCTTAGATATATATACCCAAGAGAAATGAAAACATTTGCCCACATGATGACTTGTACATGAATGTTCATAGCAGCATTATTCATAATAGCCAAAAATTGGAAACAACCCAAATGTCTATCAACCGATGAACAGATAAAATGTGGTATATTTATAGAATGGAATATTATTTGGGCATAAAAAGAATGAAGTATTGATACATTCTGCAACATAGATGATACTTAAAAATATTATGCTAAGTGAAAAAAGTCACAAAAGAGCAAATTAAATGTCCAGAACGGGCAAATCTATATAGAGCGTAGATTAGTGGTTGCCACCGGCTGAGGAGAGGGGAAAATTAGGGAGTGACTGCTAAGGGGAAAGGGGTTTCTTTTGGAGGTGATGGAAACATTCTAGAATGAGATGTGACAATTGTGAGTATCCTGAAAGTCATTGAATTATACATTTTAAAAGGGTAGATTTCATAATATGTGAATTATAGCTGATTATAAAACAAAGCTATTATAAAAATGTTTTTGTTTCTATTTAGGAGCAAGTTAGGCACTTATTGAAACATAGTAACTCTTTTAGAACACTCAGTTACCTAATATTATAAATTAGATGTAATATGGAGAAAACTATATGATTTTTTTTTAGCAGCCGAACCACATGTTCCCCTCTCTATATATGCCCTTCTCTGACCACTACCCTCCCACTCTATCCAAAAAAAAAAGTGGAGCAGGGGGCAGTTCTGCTTGGGGAATCATTTGGGTAGATCATCTGGGGTGAAGAGAGAAACCATTACAAATTGGTGGTTTTCAGCCAATCCCTATGAAATAAACAGTAGATGGCCACTGGCCTGCTTTCTAAAACGATGAGTTCCTCCAGCTGAGTGGCTTTTGTTTGGAGAGAGCTATACTAGCTAAGGACCTAAACTGAATTGTTCTGAAAACATAGAGAATTTCAGAGCCTAAATTTGGGGCAAGGAGAGCAATAAAAAGAGGTAATGTTGCTAGACTGTATGGAAAGAGACTTTGGTACTCAAAAATGCCTATAGAGGATTGCAATTAAATTTTGCCGGAAAGTATGCAAATTCTCCAGCATTTCACAACCACCACCACAGGTGATATTCAGTACAACCTACTTCACCAAGTGTAGAGTCAAGGGAAAACTCTCTTCGCCCTCTGAAGGTTCGCTGAAAATCAGCTGACAAAAGGCAGATTCATAGGATGAAAGGCATACAAATTTTATTTTAACATGCATAGCATGAGAGAATCACAGAAGGATGATTACCCAATAATCCAATGGGGTACAGATGTTTATAAACCCTTCTTTAAAGGGGTAGGGAGAAATGTGGCAGTTTGAGGCATGGTGAAATATTTTTAGGGGAATTCAATGGGCTTGTAGAACATACAGCAGACAATAGTTGATGACAAATGCTTGTCCAGGTGTGTTGACAAACCTCAGTCTCTTCCTGCAATATGAGTTAAATTAATGAAAACTCAGAAAAAGGACTACAGGTAACTGTTTTCTTCTTTGGCGGGTCTGGACTTGTGCTAGATAAGGAAATATCAGCATAAAGCTTCTTCCAGGATCTGCTGTTCTTCAAGGGCCATTAATTGAAAATAATTAGCATGCCAGGGTGCTATATTGGAGGTGTCAATTTCTTTCTTTCTTTTCTTTTCTTTTAGACAGAGTCTTACTCTGTCGCCCAGTCTGGAGTGCAGTGACGTGATCTCAGCTTACTGCAACCTCCGCCTCCCAGATTCAAGCGATTGTCCTGACTCAGCCTCCTAAACTGGGATTACAGGCACCCGCCACCACACCTGGCTAATTTTTGTATTTTTAGTAGAGATGTGGTTTCACCACGTTGGCCAGGCTGGTCTCAAACTCCTGACCTCAAGTGATCCACCTGCCTCAGCCTCCCAAAGTGCTGGGATTACAAGT